TTCTGCTGTTCTCGCAGTCGCAGTCGCATTCGCAATGACAGTCACAGTGGCAACGGCCTTAGGATCGAATGGAATCCTAAGGATTCCTATGGATTCCTAGAGCATCCTTAGGAATCCATAGGAATCCTTAGGAAGCCTTAGGAATCCTGATTCCTATGGATTCCTGGGGATTCCTAAGGATTCCGAGGGAATCCTAAGGATTCCTGAGGATTCTGAACTATGCCTACGGATTCCTAAGGATGCCTACGGATTCCCAAGGATTCCTGGGGATTCATAAGGATTCCTATGGATTCCCACGGATGCCTCAGCCTGCCTCAGTTTCAGCCTCAGCCTCAGCCTGCTTCGGCTTGCCTCAGCCTCAGCCTGAGCCTGCCTCGGCCTCAGCCTCAGCCTGCCTCGGCCTCAGCCTCAGCCTGCCTCGGCCTCAGCCTCAGCGTCAGCCTCAACCTCAGCCTGCCTCAGCCTCAGCCTGTCTCAGCCTCAGCCTCAGCCTCAGCCTCAGCCTGCCTCGGCTTGTCTCGGCCTCAGCCTCAGCCTGCCTCGGCCTCAGCCTGCCTCGGCCTCAGCCTGCCTCGGCCTCCCCTTCTCCCCCCCCTTACCCTTCCCCCCATTGAGCCTCACCTTGTCTCAGCTTCGGCCTGCCTCGGCCTCATCCTCAGCCTCAGCCTCAGCCTGCCTCAGCCTGTCTCGGCCTGAACCTGCCTCGGCCATAGCCTCAGCCCGCCTCAGCCTCAGCCTGCCTCGGCCTCAGCCTGCCTCAGCCTCAGCCTCAGCCTGTCTCAGCCTCAGCCTGCCTGAGCATCAGCCTCAGCCTGCCTCGGCTTGCCTCGGCCTCAGCCTCAGCCTGCCTCAGCCTCAGCCTGCCTCAGCCTCAGCCTCAGCCTGTCTCAGCATCAGCCTGCCTCAGCCTCAGCCTCAGCCTGCCTCGGCTTGCCTCGGCCTCTGCCTCAGCCTGCCTCGGCTTCAGCCTCAGCCTCAGCCTGCCTCGGCTTCAGCCTCAGCCTCAGCCTGCCTCAGCCTCAGCCTGCATCAACCTCAGCCACAGCCTCAGCCTCAGCCTGCCTCAGCTTCAGCCTCAGCCTCAGCCTGTCTCGGCTTGCCTCAGCCTCAGCCTCAGCCTGCCTCGGCCTCAGCCTCAGCCTCAGCCTCAGCCTCAGCCTGCCTCGGCCTCAGCCTCAGTCTCAGTCTGCCTCAGCCTCAGCGTCAGCCTCTCAGCCTCAGCCTGCATCAGCCTCAGCCTCAGCCTCAGCCTGCCTCGGCCTCAGCCTCAGCCTGCCTCTGCCTCAGCCTGCCTCAGTCTCAGCCTCAGCCTGCCTCGGCCTCAGCCTGCGTCAGCCTCAGCCTGAGCCTGCCTCAGCCTCAGCCTGCGTCAGCCTCAGCCTCAGCCTGCCTCGGCGTGCCTCAGCCTCAGCCTCAGCCTGCCTCGGCCTCAGCCTGCCTCAGCCTCAGCCTGCCTCAGCTCGGACAATCAAAATATGGCACAGGACTGGTGTTCTGGGAACACGAAGAACACGAAGTGGCCTACAGTTGGCTCCGGGCAATCAAAATATGGTACAGGAATGGTGTTCTGGAAACACGAAGAACACGAAGTGGCCTACAATTGGCTCCGGGCATTCAACATGTGTCCTGGGAATGGTGTTCTGGAAACACGAAGAACACGACGTGGCCTACAATTGGCTCCGGGCATTCAAAATGTGGCCTGGGAATGGTGGTCTGGGAAGACGACGAACACGACATTGCCTATAGTTGGCTCCGGGCATTCAAAATGTGGCCTGGGAATGGTGTTCTGGGAATAGAATATGTAGGAATCCATTCGAAATTTTAAGAATCTATAAGAATCCTGGGGAGTCCCCGGATCCCCCGGATTCCCCCGGCATCCGCCCAGACCCTCCTGGGGAGTCAAGATGCTCTCTTTTGACCCCACTAGAAACCTATCAGTCTTCGCTGTTAGGTAAAAATAGCCAAACGATGTTCAACATAAGCTTACAAAGTCTCAAAAATCGTCCCCAGACTATTTCTTATTACTGTTTTTGAATGTTCCCCATGTAGGGGGACACGCCCGACTTAAATCTTGGCCGTCTTGGGGGACTCTTGAGGCCGTTCTCGTGCCCTCTTGTGGCCATCCTGGGCCTTCGTGGGCCACTGAGGAGCGTCTGGGGCAGTCCGGGGGGGCTCCGGCATGTGAGCGTGGGCTGTTCGAGGCCGTCTTGGTAGCCCTGGCGGGGGCGCTGGTGTCTCGGCGGTTGACAAGCCTCACTTTAGTAAACTATCCTCTCGTGACAACGACAGGACCGAAACCGACGGACCTGGACCCGCAAAAGTGACGGCCGCGACGCCCTCTCGCGAACCGAAAACGGCCAATTCGCTAATCGACGTGTCAGGGTAGGAGGTCTATCAACCTCCGAGCGTCTGGATCTCATGGGAGGGGTCCAGATATGATTCGAAGCCCCTTGGTGGATTCTTGGGGTCTCTTGGGAGGCTTCTCGGGCTCTTGGAGCCATGTGTTGGGCTCTCTTGGGGCCTCTCGGGCGCGTCTGGGGGCGATATCAAGGGGGGCCTGTTGGGCAGTCTTGGGTGGTCGGACAATCGGAAAACGAGAACGCCACAATCCATTGACAACCCCTGCGAAATTAACGGTTTGCACCTCTTGGCGCCCTCTTGGGGTTCGTCTGGGTGCCTTCTCGAAGCGTCCGAGGAGCTCCTGGAGCCGCCTGGGGGCCCTCTGGGGCTGCCCCCGAGCGTTTCGCGAAGCCTCGGGGCGACCGACAGGCATGCCTGGGCGGTCTGGGGCCCGTCGGGGGGAGGCCCTTACCCAATCCTGGGCCATTCGGGGGGCTGTCTGGACCGTCTTCTGGGCTCCGGAGGGCGGTAGTGGCCGGGAGGGGGCGTCTGCAAATCAGTTGGGGGAGTGCGGGTGTAACATTCTAACGATCTTACACGCGCCCCTCCAGCGGGAATTAACTCAGAGGCGATTGATTGACGCCGTCCGCATGTCTTTGTAGCTTTGCTCTGGGAATTTCTCAACGTTCTGACAATCGGGCGCACCCCTCACGCATATCGTGACGCCAGGGTCGAAGGCATGCATGCTGCTTTCGTCACAAGCATGCAACTTTGAAACTACATGTTCGGTGAGATTGCAGGCAGCTGTTAAGCATTTGTTGTTCCATGGCTTCCTGAGCAGCCCTGCAGATCAAGATGCAATCCCTTTCAACACACCCGCAGAACTTCGTTCATGTGGCACATATCTGAAGAACATAAGATGTTCGTCTGTGGTTCTCAAAGCATTCCTTCGACCTTGCTCTGACCTGTGCTCCTTCATGCGCACAGGGGTGCTCCTCAAACTTTCTGCCTGCTCGCAAGCTGTGGCAACCCTATCGGTGGGCCCCCATGGCATTCTGTATGATTCTTGGCACGCGCGTGCCACTTTTGTGTGTACGTCGGTATGTATGTATCGGCGGTGGGCAAATCTCCCTTTAGCAACCCTCCACTCCGTGAAAACGGCCTAGGACCGAAACCGACGGACCTGGAACCGCAAAAATGACGGCCGCGACACTCTCTCGCGAACCGAAAACGGCCAATTCACTAATCGACGTGTCAGGGTAGGAGGTCTACCAAGCTCCGAAGGTATGAATAACACGATAGAAAAGCCCCCATCAGTGGATGGTTTTCGCTGAAGAGATCGACCGGTAACCCAGGAGCCCGGGAACCCAGAACCCACCGAAATCAGCCTGGAAACAATGACCCGGAACCCAACAACCCGGAACCGGGAACCCGAGAACCCAGCCTGCTACCAAATTCGGCGGGAACTTTCGCCAAATCTTCCAACTTCCGCTGGGACCCCATTCAGTGCAAGCACTGATTGGGGAAGAGATGAGTAGCCGCGTATCTAGAGATTCAACAAACATGCATATCTGTAGATCTGTCCCGACCTTGGCGCTGCGCGCAGGGGCGCAGGACGGACCGCGCGAGGACGTCGGGCTCCTTTGCTCTGGGGCCCCGGATCTGGCCGACACCGCTGCCCTTTCCCGCGAAGCGAGGCCGAGCGGAACATCTCAATCTCAAGGGAATCGACCGAAAAGAGTGCCCAGCGCCCATACATAAATACGTATCTCTAGATACACATACATGTATATATAGTGAGGGCATTTGTTTTGTATCACTTGTCCCACGAAGCAACGCCGACACCGCTGCCTTTTCCCACGAAGCAACGCCGAGCGGAGCACCTCGATCGCAAGGGAATCGACCGAACAAGTGAGTCCAGCGCCCATACATGAATACGTATCTATGAATACACATACATATATCGTGGGGCATCATACATACACATACACCGCTGCCTTTTCCCACGAACCAACGCCGAGCGGAGCATCTCAATCTCAAGGGAATCGACCCGAAAAGTGTGTCCAGCGCCCTTTTATGAATACGTATCCTTAAACTTTAAATACACATACGTATCTATTGGGGGCATCTTTTTTATCACTTCGCCGGCGAGCCCTTGTTGAATTGGACGTGCGCAGCGCACCCAAGCAGTGCTCGCGCGTCCCGCAGGCAGGAGCCCCGGCCCCCGAGGCAGCGGCTAGTTCCACAGGGAATCCATGGTCTGGAAGCTGGTGGGGCCCAAGGACACGCAAATAGATACACACAGATAACAGGATCATCCATATTTTGACATGTTTTCGGGGTCTTTGTCTTCCCCCCCACTTGCAATCTTTTTCCATATGTTCCGGGGAGTCGACGATTCATTGTGTCTCTGTGTTTTTTCTCCTCCTGATGGAAGCTGGTGGGGCGCCAATTGATTGAGGCTTGGCCACAAGAGTCACCGCCGCCCTCACCGGACAAAGAATCCTCCAGGGTCTGGAGCCTCCTGGTAAATTCCGTATCGAACGCCCTCGCCGCATACACAGATGCAAAGAAAAAGAGGACGCAAGAGAGAGAGTGAGAGAGAGGCAGAGAGCGACGGAGAGGGAGATGACAGCGATTGGCAAGAGCATCCGCGGAGCCTCTTCAACGCCGAAGGACACGCGCTTCTGAAACTTCTTGCCGTCAGCCACCTTTTTGGCTTTGGCACCCCCCAGCGAGTCATGCAGGGGCCTCCCAGATTTGTAGACCAGCGATCCACTGAGTATACCAGGATGCAGGAACACAGATGGCCAGATTCACGTGTGGAGCATCCAGAAGCCAAGCGCTGCATGTAAATGCAAGCGACTGGCGTGCCCTGCCTCAGAGGGGGCGAGCGCTGAAAAGACATCTGGCAACATGTAAATCCAGCTATCCCCCTGGCCAACCACGTCATGTGTATCCAGCTTCTTGGTAACATTCACTGCAGCACTGCTAACGCGAAATTTCGTTCTGCGGGTCTGGATCGTCGATCTGTCCGAAGCTCGCCCATGCTTCCCTCACATGGGTCTCAATATTACATAGATTGAACCTTCTTCGTTCATCTGTCGACTCTTTGGAATTAGTGAGTTCCCGAAGCTCGCAAACAGAAGGCAGTGGCCGAACCACTTCTTGAAATAACCAAAAACCCCAAATATATCCAAATCCCAACGCCGGGAGAAAACAAACGTGTTTCGTGCCGGCGTGTTGCCACCAGAACGCATGATGCAAAACACTCGCGATCGGCGAGGAGCGACATTATCACGGCACAGGACTCCACGGCCGACTTGTTCGAAACCGGACGTGGCGGCGAGCCTCATCAAAGGGAGAGGAACGCCCACGGGCTGGACGCTGACGATGGAAGCTCCCCAGCGGCTCTTCATTGGGACGCAGTTGCGAGGCCTTCCAGCTGAAGGAAGACCTGTCTGAATGGGATAGGGCAACAAAAACGTCACCCAGAGGCCAGACGCACTGCCAGTGTTGACAGCAGCACAAGGCTCGGGGGGCTGTCAGCAAGCTAAGGCTCACATCGTGTTGGGGCCACTGGTTCCGTTCCTCCGCCTCAGAAGCCTGGGGCTTGAACTGCGCTGGACGCACAGATGAAAAAAATTGTGGTTCGAATCGCAGACAGGTCTCCGACACATTCGAATCATCATCTCATCTTTTCCATGAAACGCGGCCTCATCAAGTAGTAGCACGCCTCAGCCAGCACAGCGAGAGGATTCGCACTGCCACTGCGAATTGCCCTTACACGCGACAGCACCAAGCAAGCCCGATGCACGGGGCTCCTCTCGAACCGCGCCGCCGAGGGAGGAGAGCAGGACCCCGAGTGGGAAGAATAGAAGGGGAGGATGAATCAAATGAGGGAGAGGAGGATGCAGAGGATGAGGAACATGCTGATCATGAGGACTCGGGGATCTTCTGACCCGGGTCAATCCAGACCCGGGTCAGTCAGGCCTTGCAGAATCCTGCAAGATCCTGCAAGATCCTGCCCAAACCCGGGCCAATGCGAAGTATCCAGGAAACTCCTGCAGGATCCAGCACCCAAAGCCGGGTCAACGCGACCCTGCCCATGCAGGATCCTGCAAAATCGGGGTGCTCTGGCTGACCCCCGTTTGCATTGACCCTCGTCTCAAGGCTCCCGAAGGACAAATCGGCGACGACAACCGGCCTTGGCAACAGAGGTCGAGGCCTCGAACCAAACGCAGGAAACAAAACGCCCCCCCCCAGCCAGACCGCAAAGCGCATCAACTGCTACCCATTACGTTGGAGACTCGGCCTTGTACTGCGTACACCCTGCGAATTGCTTAAGAAATCATGGGTTAAGAAATTCATAGTCTCAGACCTTGAATAAAAACCCAACATTTCTATTACAAACTTAGGATTTACATTGAAACGTTAAAAATGATCGAGACTCTGGCCGAAAACTCAAGTTGTCTTAAGCATCGCCTAAGGTGTAGGGCGGTGGTGAGGAGCGACGAGGGGGGGGGGACTGGCTCAGAGAGGAGGAGACATCGACCTGGAATCGGCAATGCATCGCCGATCGATCGGCGATAGGCCCCCGATTTTGAACTCGCATGGTTTTTGTCGGGGGGGGGGTGCTATCGGCTATCGGGCCCCCTATCGGCGATCAGTGGGCGATTGGGGGCCGATGCATCCCCCACCCCGAGCCTATCCCCCCACAACGTTGCCCGTGAGGTGGGCACCCCACGCGCTTGCGAGAGCACTGGACGGCATCACTCTGCGCAGCTGGAGGCTGCAAGCGGTGCCAGAGAACCCGCAGACGAGCGACCGATCGCGCGGGAAGATGCCGAGGGGGAGGAGGAGGAGGAGGAGGAGGAGGAGGAGGAGGAGGAGGAGGAGGAGGAGGAGGAGGAGGAGGAGGTTTGAAGAGTAGGAGGAGGGGGAGAATCCCTCCCCACGCTCCTCTTCCTCTCCTCCTTCTCCTGCTCCTCTTCCTCCTCTCCTCCTCCTCCTCCTCCTCCTCCTCCTCCTCCTCCTCCTCCTCCTCCTCCACTACCCCCGCGAAGGCTAGTGTCGTATCCTCGTCGAAGGTTGTCGCACGGAGGCCCTCGCAAGGCATCGCCAGCCCGTCGCTCTCTTGTGCCCCCAGAGATGCTACCAGAAGGAACGCCAGATAAGGAACGAAACCCCTTTCAAGCCCCCCAGGAAGATCCTGGGTGCACCAATGGCGCCAAGGGAGTGGAAAGACCCGATATAAACAGTGAGCCCCTTCCGGACCCGAGCTGTTCCCTTGTTTCTGCGCCTGCATGAGGACACGAACTCCATACACCGACGCTTTTTCAGACCCTGCGCTGAAGCTCGCACAGGAACGCGGATCCTGGTGCATACGGGATCCTGGTGTACACATTTTTCGCTGCTTCCCCGCGAAAACGGGGAACAAGTATACAACAGACCACCCCGACGTCGTCCCCGTTCCTCGAAAAGTCGTAGGATTGAAAAACGGCCCGCCACTGGTCGTGTACAGTTCCCTTGTTCCTGCGCCTGCATGCGCATCGCAGCAGAACCGAGCCCAGAGCCACCGAGGCTATCGTCACCAGGCGGCTGCACACCGCCAGCCCTGGCCAGGCCCATCCCTGGGCCCCCGGGCTCGTGCGGCGCGCGCGCGCGTGCGAACCGGTGCGAGTCGTCGGCGGCGATCGGAGCGGCGCCCGCTGCATCCCCCCCCCCACGGAGGCGACGACCCACCGGCGCAGGCAGCCAACGAACCACCCGTGGAAGTAGGGAGCCCAACCCGCGAGCCTCCAGCGGCCCTCCGCCTCCGCACGCTGGGGGCCCCGACGGCCACCCGCCCACGGCCAGCCACAGGCGAGCGGTGAGAGGACGTCATGGTTCCAGGCCCCCCCCCCCCATGTGCGAGGCGGTGGGCCCCCCAGATCCCTCGGGTCCGTGGCCCCCCAGATCTCCTCGGAGTCTGCGCGCTCGCCCAGCGCGCCGAGCACAGCATCCCCCAATGCTGCGGAAGCCGATCGGCACTCTGGCAAGTGCCCGCGCCCTCCGCACCGAGGCCATGAGAGTCTGGCGCACGGCGCCGATCCAACTGATTCTTTGTGTTTCCACCAGCGGTGAGCATTCCACCGGGGGCTCCGCGAACCCGTGGCCCAGAAACCCGACATCTCCATCTTAAGGCCTTTCTCTTCGCCGGGCCTGCGAGGTTCTGGCGATGATCTTCGTTCGAGGCGATCGATCTGCTCGCGTGGGTCCCCGAGGACATCTGCCGCACAGTGCACTTGAACGCCTTCCTGGAACTCCTTGACTCTGGCACCGGCGCTGGAAGAGGGGTGGGGGGCCGTGACTGCCCTCCAGGCCGGCGGGGCGATCGTCCTGCACGTCGAATGCCGCAGGTGGTGCCCATCCGAGACCGCCTCGAACCCGCCGCGGAACCGCGTCCGCTTCCCCTGCCAGCGGCCTCCGCATCGGACCGCCGCGCGCCCTGTTACTTCGCCATCGCGGCCACCGCTGAGGAATGGTCGCGGCCAAACTTTGGAGAGCAGCTGTAGGTCCGAAGCGCGCCAAAAAAGGCAAGTGCCCTCCCTCCGAACCCTCCCGGCGAGAGGATTTCGGCGGAGGCTTCAGCCATGATGGCGCGGAACCCAAAGTGCTGCTTCCCGAAGCGGTCCTCAGCCTCCCTGAAGGAAGACTGAAAGGTAATGCTCTTGCACTCTGGCCTTGCCATGCCGAAGGAAGAGAGAATCTCGAGGGAGAGGAACATGGACACTCGCGGAAGGAGAGAGAGAGAGAGAGAGACAGAGAGAAGCAGTGCACGTTAAAGGTGCACTGGCAAAGCGGTGAAACAAGAAATGGCGCGGCTATGAAACAATTCGACGCCGTGCAAAGCACGGCACCAATCCATTGGAACTGAATATCTCAAACATCTCCTCATGCAACGCCGACATACCAAAAGGCCCGCAAGGTGGGCGACCCTGGAGAGCAACGGCAGCGGGGGGCAGAGGAGGGAACGACACCCAGAGACCAGGACGGGACCGGAGCCGGGGGAGAGGAAGGAGAACGAGCGACAGGGAGAGACGGCCGCGAGGAGGGGAGGAGGGCGACTTCCGGGCGACGGCCCGACGGGACGAGCAGGAGGGAGAGAGAGGGAGGGCGAGCGCGCGAGAGAGAGCCAGGCAGAGAGCAGGCGGAGGAGCGCCGCAGGACGGCGGAGGAGGGGAGGGACGACGGCACCGCCCCGCGGGCGCGGGAGGCGAGGCGGGGGCGAACGAGGAAGGGTGAGAAGGATGCTGAGAAGGATCATGACGTCGATGCCTATGTCAATGATGGTGAGGATGGGGCGAGAACGAGGAGGGATGAGGATGCGAGCGCAGAGGGCAGGCGTCGCGATCCCACCGCCCTGCCGCGGCAGGGGCGGGGGCGCGCCTGGCCTGCTTGGAAGGGGGCATGAGGGGGGGGGGGGGGGGGGGGAGCGGCGGGAGTGGGAGGGCGGCGGGAGCGGGGCGGGGAGGAGGAGGGAGGACGAGGGAGGCAGGAGCCGCACGAGCACGAGGGAGGACGAGGGAGGACGAGGGAGGACGAGGGAGGAAGAGGGAGGACGAGGGAGGAAGAGGGAGGACGAGGACGAGGGAGGACGAGGGCGGCGGAGCAGAAGGAAGAGGAGGAGCAGGGCCAGGACCACGCGGAGGGGGCCTCGGTCTTCGGGGCCCACTGGCCCTGGTTAAAGACAACGCTGCACCCAACCCTAACCGAGGGGAAGAGGGGACGGACCACGACGATGGAGGTAAGGGTGTTGCTGCTGCTGCTGCTGATGGTGGTGGTGGTGGTGGTGCTGCTGCTGCTGCTGCTGCTGCGGATAGTGGCGGTGGTGCTGGTGAGTGTCATGGTGATGGTGGTGGGGATGCGGAGAAGGGTGATGATAACGATGCCTATGTTGATGATGGTGATGATGCTGATGGCGATGATGATGATGATGATGATACTGATGATGATGCTGCTGATGATGATGGTGATGATGATGGTGACAATGATGAAGATGATGCGGATGATGTTGGGGCTGCTTATGATGTTGATGGTGTTGATGTTGCTGCTACTGCGGATGGATGGCGATGTTGGTGGTGGTGATGAGGATCGCGATCCTAACACTGGTAATGAAATGAGGTTGGTGCTGATGATGCTGATGCTGATGCTGATGCTGATGGCACAGCTGATGACAGTGGTGGTGTTGATGCATAACATGACGGTAGTGGCGATGGTGTTGACGATGATGTTGAGGAGGCAGATGGCGATGATGCTGATGTTGATGATAGTGATGATGATGCTGCGGATGATGATGGTGATGCTGACGGTGCTGATGCTGAGGACGTGGACGAGGACGAGAAGGAGGAGGAGGACGAGGACAAGAGTGCCAGGGAGCAGCCGCGGGAGGAGGCAGTGGAACAGCAGCAGCAGCGGGAGGGAGGAGACCACGCTTGCCCGCCGCGCGCCCGCCTCGCCGGTCGCCGGCGCCGTTGGTGCGGGCTCGGCGGCGTCCACGGGCGCCTGCGTGGCTTCTGCGCCCGGCGGCGTCCCTGGCTAGTCCTCCCTATACCCCCGTGATCCCCAGAGCGAAGGAGACAAGGAGAAGCGATGGGGGGGACATCCTCCTGAATCGTCTCCCCTCCATTCTCCCCGCCTTTATCCCTTCCTCACCTCTCCTAATCCTCCTCCTCCTCCTCCTCCTCCTCCTCTTCCTCTTCCTCCTCCTCCTCCTCCTCCTCCTCCTCCACCGCCTCCTCTTGCTCCCCCTCCACCTCCTCCTCCTCCGCCTCCTCCTGATCTCCCCTCCTCCTCCTCCTCCTCCTCCTCCCCTCCTCCTCCTCCTCCTCCTCCTCCTCCTCCTCCTCCTGCGTCTCCTCCTCCTCCTGCGACGCCTATTGACAACAACTAAAGGGTCAGTGAACCTGCCCCCATACAGTTGCACTGCGCTCGGGATCAGATCGCCTCCGAGCTCTCGGGAGAAAAGGGACGGAACACAACTGGAATCCAGCGGCCCCGACAAAAACAGCTTCCGCTGGTGAAGGCCTCTCCTGCCCCACGCCGAGAGATGCCCGCAGGACTGCCCCGCCGGGTGCGCGGACGTGGCCCCGCACGCGACACAAACAACGTCATTCGACGGGTCACCGCGCTCCTCGCGTGTCCACTTGCAAAGCGGGTGCCCACCCGCAGTGACGACACGATGGGGAGGGCGGTCGACGAGCACGTGGGGCGAGGGCGGCGACGGCGGCGGCCGCAGTCGTGGCCTGTTTGCGCAAGGCTCGGGCCGCCTTCATTTCGGAGGCGGCGAAACGCTCGGTGTCGAGCGCCGCGGAAGGGGCAGCCGTGCCTACCCGTTCTCCCACAACCCGAGTTAGCATACAGAGCTCGCGGAACCGGTCACGACGCATGGAATCGACGCGCCACTGGCAAGTTACCTTCTTCGCCCACTCGTCGGCGAACCGATTGCCAGCAGCTGTGCAACGCGAGAACGAGCTACGCTGATCCGCCTTGGGGTGGGCCTTCACTTTCACGAACATCACCGCGGCAGGCCCCGTCCCACCCCAATCCTCCAGCTTCTCCTGGAGGAGTTCCCAAACATCAGCATGTGCTGAGCTCAAACCACAGCGCCGTTCGCGCCCTAGCTCCATGATGCCATGAAAAACGCAATCGCTATTAGCGCGGGTGGTGTCTGGAGGCAGCGCGACCCTGAGAGTTTGCACGACAGCCGCCAGCTCAGCCCGATCTGTGCAATGAATTGGGCCCTCCGCCCCGCCTCCGTAGACAGCCGACACTCTGAAAGTCGGCGAGCGCGCGATGGGGAGGGGGTGCCAGGCTGCGCGGCAATGGCGACCCAGCCCGTGACGCACGCACTCGGCACACCAAAATGGCTACGGAACGCATTCGGCACACCATGATCATAGCACGAGCCATCGACAGACAAGTCTCCTGTGAGAGCCTCGCGCTCGCCAGTGTAGAACTGTTCTGAAGCAGCTTCGGGCAAGGGCGGGAACCTGTCACGCGGCAACAACACTCTGCCTCCAAACGGCGTCGCCAGCGCAGACGGACCCTGCGGCAGAGCGCGGCGGAGCGCGCAGGCAGGCTGCAGCCTGGCAGAGATCAGCCCGTCGCACTCGAGATGGCGGTGGCACAGCGTGCCAGGGGCATCCCCGCATATGCGACAGAGCAGTGACTGAACGCAATTTGCCTCGGACATCCTCTGCTGCGCCCATTGCGTTCCGATGACTGCGGGTCGAAGGTCAGCCTTTCTTCGGGCGAGGGGGGGCGACCAAGCAACTGAACAACTGGCTCGAGCAAAACGCCTGGCCGGAGCTCAGGGCACTGCAGCGCTGTGCTGACCAGCTTCCGGTGCCAGGCCCCGCAGGCCACGTCAGTGAGCTTCTGGAGCCCATGAACGCGAAACTTGGCCGGCTGCATTGCGAGGCCCGAGTGAAAGGTGCAGGATCGAAACGAAATCAACTTTTATGTCCAGGCGTGACAAGGTGGCCAAATACGCAAAGTAGGGGCCCTACGCGGACTGCCGCGGACTACCTTTGCTGGCTTGGGCCTTCTCTGGGGCCTGGCGAAAAACTTGCTCGATGACAATGCGGGGCGTTCGCTGCTGCTTCCAAGCAGCCAGCGTAGCACAGGGCGCCTCGGCGGATGCATCGAGTATAGGGACCACCCGACGGCCTGGGGAGAGGAGGCGGAGGGCAAGGTGAGCAAGGAAGAGCTGGTGGGGCCTTGATTTCCAACCAGCTGCATTAACTTCATCAGCTCCTGGCCATTGGTGCCCGTGGCGCGGCTGCCATATCCCACATAGGTTTCAACCGTGGTTTTGGCCATTCTAGCAACGAGACGGCGGCGCTTGGCTCCGCGCCAAACCTGTCGCCGTCTGGAACGGACAACGGCGGAGGCCAGAGGCTCGCGCTCCGCGCCTCTACCCAGTCTCCGACCCGACCCGCTGCCCACCCCCAGATTCCCTTCAGCGCGAGATTTGCGCCCTCCAAGACAACCCAGGCTGCCTCCAAAGATGTCCTGGGACGAGCAACGCTGCCGAGGAAACGCGTCTTGTTTTGGCGACTACGAGGATTCTTTTCCGACCGACGGCCGGATTCGACCCCGGGCGCTGTCGGCCCCGCGCGGGCGCGCTCTTCGGCGCCAGAGCTCTGCAAACCGATGTCATCGACAACTGTGGAGAGCGAGACTGCAGCCCCGCGCATTCCATCCAGCGGCTGTAGGAGGATGAGTTGCAGCATCATGGTTGCGAAGACGCAGCCAGGGAGCACGCTCTGCACTGACGAGATCGGCCAAGAACTCGCGGCTGACGATGGAGACTGATGGGGAGGTGCAATCAACGCATGGGGAAACCTGCGCGCTCTGCGGCGGCCGCGAGGTGGCGGTGGCGAATGAGCTCAAAGGCTTTGTCTCAGACAAACCAGAATCGCCCCCGACGTCAAACCTTGGCCATGAGCCATTTCGGCCCGCGCGGCCTGCGCCCAGACGCACTTGTCCGCGGCCTTGCAAGGGGCCCCCCAGAACGAACTTCTTAAATGCCCCCCCTGCCACTCGTGGATCTCGGGCTTCCTGAGCTGACGCAAGACCCCTGCAAGTGCGTGCAGGAGAACACTTGGCCGAATGCCCCCTAGACGACTGGCAAGGGGGGAGCTTCTACCCGCGCCTTGGGCCACTCCAGCCGCAGCTCAATCAAATTCAACGACTCGCAAAGGGCGTCGGGCCCTTCGAAGCCGAACTACAAAAAACCAAGGGTTCACGCAATGGCAACCGTGCCCGCGTCGGGCTTATAACTCGCGAGCGCCCCGATGACTTCTGGGGCGGTGGGAAGAGGGGCCCGAAAGGGAGAGGTTGGGCCACTCGATGGGCGAGCGGAGCTACGACGTTCCACCGAGCCCCTCACTCAACGCGCAAAGTTTCGACCTGCTCCGCCGAACCCAGCGAGACATGGTCGGTCGTTGCGCGCGCCGTCTGGAGCCCATCCAGTCGGCGCCTTCGAGACACTGAAAAGGGCAGAAGCCCGTGCTTCTCCGCCAAGCCTCCCAGTCCTTCGCGGTGGCTCGCTGACTGGCCCTAGCGGCAGCGTCAGCTTGGCTCTGCGAAAAATTTCTCCATGCTTGAAATTCGGGAGGAGAGAGGGGGGGGAACGCTGAGGGACAGCTTGGCGAAACTGACGGCAAGCTAGCACTGCCTGGGCACCGAGGCCGACGCTGGCGACGCCGGCGGGCGACATCATCCCAGCCGCCCCCGAGGTTCTGGAGGCCCAATAGCGCCCGCGCCATGCCTTTCCACCAGACAGCCACTCAGCTGCGGGCACGGCACTGAACGTGGTCGAAGAGGGAAAATCGTCTCCAACTGAAGCCCAGCACCCCGGCCCCGATACTTGCCAGCTTGCTTAGGTTCAACATCGAACACGTTTATCCACGTGTCCTCCTCCGCTGCAGCAGCAAAGCCAATCTAGGCTTGATCAACTGATGCCCCAGGCTGCCGCGTACCATCGCCTATATGATCCCAGTTGGGCTCGCCAAGCTGTCTGCAACAACCGGCTGGAACTGAGACAGGAAACTTTCGAGGCTGAACAACAGCTCGAACTTCTGGCGGCCGCCGCGAGGTCTACACCTTCACTTGGACATGGCGATGGGAGCTTATGGCAATGTGGTCGAGCAACTCGACGTGACCACCAACAGCGAGGCACGGGGACATCACAAAGTAGTCGATCACCCGCTCGGAAGGCCTGACTGCGTCGACCTTCGGCGCCGCGACGACGCCACCGAGGCCCGCGACCCAGCCGCTCTCGATGAGCTCCCCAGGCGTGACCTGCCAGTCCGCACTGACGACGAAGGGAAGGCCAGCTCGCTTGATCGCCTGGCCCATGGAGCAGAGGATCTGCCACTTGCGTTCACTGAGGCCCTCGGAATCGTGCAAGTATGGGGGGGGGAAACAAACCTACCTCGCTTTTGACCACCCTCGCTTCCAAGAGATACCAAACGATGCCAAACTACGGCCTGTACTGGTCAGGCCGCTTGACGAGGGGGCGCGTGGAATAACTTGGTTTCGCCTGGAAGCGAAAACGGGGTAGGTAATTCACGCTCTGAAGTACATCGCGCCCACGCAGGCCTCCCGACGGGAAGGCCTCTGCAGCGCCTGCGGGGGCGCCCCCGGCGGGCGGCTGGGGGGCCCGCTCGAGCTCGCTGGCCACGGCGGCGAGCTCGGCCTCGAGCTCGACGGCCCCGAGCTGCCTGGCCCGCTGGAGCGGTCGGGCGCACTGGTTGGCGCCAGTGGTGCTCGGCGTGCCTGGTGCTGCCGAGGCGCCTCCCAACTGAGCAAAGGGCTGCCGCACCGCGAGCTGCGAATTCTTTTGCCGCTGCTGGGGGTCCTCGAGCTCAGCAGCGACCTCTGCTGCCCAGCGCGTCGGCCTGCTGAGGTTCTCCATGGCCTTGTCGTGTGTGTTCTGGGCTTTGCCGAGCTTGTCCGTGAGCTGGTCGTCTCATTCAAGGCCGCACGCGACGCGAGCTGCGGATCGCCCGAGGGGAGGCTGCGCAGGTGCTGGGTGCGGTCCCGCGGGGACTGGCTGAGGGTGCACGCGATCGCCTCGTACGCGGCGGGGTCCATGGCGGCATACGCACGAACCTGGTCGGAGAGCGGCGGGGACTCCTGGACTTGGGATCTCTGGCTGGGGGTGGGACGCCGCTCGCCCAGGACCGCAGGGCTGGACCTCACGGCTGCTGGGGCCACCTTTCGCTGTGTTGCAGCGGAGGCAGCGGCTGCGCCACTCGTAATTGAACTTGAAATTGCAACGCGTGTTGGGACAGCACCAACTCTGCTGCCAGACCGCCATCGCGCACTAGCGGAAGACGGTGCAAGATACCTCGTCGTGGGAACGCAAAGGCTGTGCGGGCTGCAACCTCAGTGCAGTCTCGGCGATGTGAGCTGTCCGGGCCGCGACTCCCCTTGCCAAAAAAAACTCCTGCCCCTGAGCAAACACTACGGGCTTGAGCCACAATGGCTACGGACACTTCTCCTCCTCCTCCTCCTCCTCCTTTTCCTCCTCCTCCTCCTTCTTTTCCTTCTTTTCCTCCTCCTCCTCCTCCTCCTCCTCCTCCCCTTCCTTCTCCAAGTCCTCCTCCTCCGACTCCAACTCCCAACTCCCCCTCTTCCGCCCCTCCTCATCCTCTTTTCCTCCTCCGCCCCCTCCTCCACCTCCTCCGCCCTCCTCATCCTCCTCCCTTTTCTCCTCCTCCTCCTCCTCCTCCTCCTCCTCCTCCCCTCTTCTCCCTCCTCGCCCTCCTCCTCCTCCTCCTCCTCCTCATCATCATCCATCCTCTTCTACCTCAACCTCTCCTCCTCCTCCCCCCCTCCTCCCCCTCCTCCTCCTCCGCCTCCTCCCTCCTCCTCTCCTCCTCCTCCTCCTCCTCCTCCTCCTCAAGCTCCTCCTCCTCCTCCTCCGCCTCCTCTCCTCATCCCTCCTCCTCTTCCTCCTCAATCTCCTTCTCCTCCTCCTCCCCTCCTCCTCCACCTCCTCCTCCTCCTCCGCCTCCGCCTCCTCCTCCTCCTCCTCCTCGTCATCCCCCTCCTCCTCCTCCTCATCCCCCTCGTCCTCCTCCTGCTCCTCCTCCTCCTCCACCTCCTCCTCATCATCAGCATCATCAGCCTCATTTCCCCTCCCCATCTTCCCTCTTCCTCCTCCTCCTCCACCTCCTCTTCCTCCTGTTCCTCCCGCCCTCGCCCCTCTTCTCGCCTCCATCCCCCACGCTTCCCAATGCGCAGCCCGCTCGTGCAGCCCACCACATCCTCCGCCGCGAGGCGGCGGTAGTCCAAGGAGGCTCCGCTTTTCTCGAGCCGTGATCACAATCAAAACGTGTAATGAGGAACGGTGGTAAGGACGCAAAACCCTTGGAGGCCGAAGTTGGGATTTTGTTTCCTGGGCGGCGGGCGACCAGTGAAAACGGCAAAGGACGGCCCACGAAGGCCAGGATACGAGGGCACCCTAGATGAAGGCGCACGTCCTTCCTAGGCGCGTTGACTGCTTTCCTGAGTGTTCGCATTTTGTGAGAGGGCGGCCGACGATTCTGAGCAAGAAGCCCAAGCGAGCTGCCAAGATGCCTCCCGTTCATTAGTCCGACCTGCCTAAAGCCGGTGACAGGTGACGAGCCACACATCTTACCAAGAAACGCCTGGGGGAAGCCCGCCTCGTGATCTCGCCTCAGCATCATCATCATCATCATCATCACCACCACCACCACCACCATCATCATCATCATCATCATCATCATCATCATCATCATCATCATCATCATCATCATCATCATCATCATCATCATCATCATCATCATCATCATCATCATCATCATCATCATCATCATCATCATCATCATCATCATCAATCAGCATCATCATCATCATCATCATCATCATCATCATCATCATCATCATCATCATCATCATCATCATCATCATCATCATCATCATCATCATCATTCCGTTTTACCTCCACCTCCTCCTCCGCCTCCTCCTCCTCCTCCTCTCACCTCCCCCTCCTCTTTCCTCCTCGTCCTCCTCTTTCCCCCCGCCTGGGGGAAGCCCGCCTCGTGATCTCACCTCGCATCCCCTCCCAGGCCCTGGAGCTCAGTCTCCTGCCAGCCCCGCTCTCGGGGCGCTGCGCCTCGGGGGGCGAGGCGTCCTTGAGAAGTTGCCCGATCTGCTCCTCGGACGGGGCGGGAAAAACCGAATGGCTGGCGTGATACGCGGATGCTCCCCAGAACCCGTCGCGCTGTGAAAAAAACACGACGGGAGATGTTTCGCTGTTTTCGGTTTCTAAAGACCTTCACTGGGCCTCTGGACCGTCCACAAACGACGCAGGATGAAGAACTGGTCCCGGGGAGGAAGGTCGAGACCTCTGGGGGTCGACGTTGCGAACAAAATCGCGACTTCGGGGGTCTGGGTAACACGCGCACGCGCACCGACGCAGACGCAAGCGCAGCGGTGCACGGAGGCGCAATCACATACGCACCACACGTCGCACCACACATGCTCTCATTAAGTCACATATGGATACTCTGGGGGAAAGGTGCACGCACGTACGCACACCAGACCCAGGCAGCATGCGCAACTTTGTAAACGTAGTACATGAAAGGAAGGATGGAAAGGATGGAGGAAAGGGGCCGGGCAACGAGCCAAGTTCGGTGCACTCGCGACACACCTCGCATCCCATCCTCACCCATCCCCTCCCATTTTGGTGAATCGTTTTTTCTTGCTGGTTAGGGCGTCGTATAAGAAGTTCCAAGATGTCAGGTGCAGGATTTGGCCAATCGTCTGCTACGTGATCAACAAGATGTGTGTTGGCACGCCGCAGGAGGATGGCGATGAGCATGGTGAGGATGAAAAGGGAGACGAGGAACCTAGAGGGCGAGGAGAGGAGGATGCGAAGGAGAAGCGAAAGCAGGATACGTTGCAACTGTCCCGAACGACGAGACCAACACACCGACCTTGACATTCTGCAGCGGGACCACCTATAGCCATGCGGTGCAAGGAACTCTGAACATGCTACTTTTGTATTACGCGGCGCAGCCCATGTATGAGCACGCGCAGGGCAGAAGCACAGGGACGGCACAATCTGGACAAACGTTGGCTGCAGCTCGAAATTGCCAGAAATTTCGTGCTCTGCTTATGCCTACCACGAATTACCGGAAAATGCAACAACAAAAGTCGTCAGAAATGCTGCTACGTCTAGCATACCGGCAAGGGAAGAGGATGGGGACAGGACTGGTATCGATAGGCTGCCAGAGCTCAGGATTGAAATTCGCCGTGGCAGGGCCCTGCAATGCATCACCTAGATAAACGGTGGTTCACACTCAGGCCTCCAGTTCAGCCGCTGTCACTGTAGCACCAACACGTAGCCCAAAACTCAAATCGGCAATCTTGCTCCAGTCCTCCGGGGCGTCCGTGGCGAGGTGCCGAGAACCGTGGAGCACCCGACCTCCGCCAACGCCGCCGTCAGGGACGCTGCCATCGAAATAGATGCGGAAATAACGAAACCCATCCACAGAGCAGCACTGCTGGTACTTGAAATAATGTCGGTTCGCAAGTTCGTCTGCCTCTGCGTTGAGTTCGCGGTGCACGCGCTGCAGTGCCTCGGGAGGGCTTCGGGGGCCTCCACAAGCAACGCGATGGCGCGGTGCGCAACGCTGAGTCGGGAGTCGTAGACCGCGCACCGACACTTCCATAAACCATTGACCCAATTCATGATCAGAGCGCTGTCCCCCAATATCTCGATCCTCGCGCCAGCGCCGCAAATTGCCTCCCAGTGCAAGGGCTCCAGGACGACGATGCGAGGGCGCTTCTGTGGAAGTAGCTGAGCCTGTCCGCCCCCGCAGGGACGGGTTTCCCGCGGCCGCGCCTCTCCTCGGGTGGGGTTGTCTTCAAGAGCTGCGAATAGACCTTCTGCCTAAAAACTTCCTTTCTACTGACCCCAACCACTCGTTGCAGCAATAGATTCCCAGTGCTCTCCAAACACATCGACGAAAACCTTTTTCCCAGCGACGGTGATGGCCACGTCTGCTGTGTCGCCAAAGTTCGCGCCTCTCTGCTGGGTCTATTGTTTCCCCCACGGCTTGACGCCACTTCCACCATTTGATGTCGCGCCACATGACGCAGGAAGGAGGGAAACACTGGCCGCCGATCAACACGACCGCGGGCGCGGCGAGAGCAGACGAAACGATTGCTGAGAAATCCGTGCAAGTGGCAGCCGGAATGCTTTCAGGAAGTACGCTCGCATATCGCCGGGCACAGCTTGCACCAGCAAGCCGACGCAAATAATCCGAAAGCTGCGTGGCAAGACTCACGTGCCCAGCTCCGTGAAAGATACTTTTTGCTCTTCACGTATGGCGTTGCACGCTCCGTGCAAAGTCTCCCCCGGGCCGTCGTCGAAATCCTGCAACGCGTCGCAAGATAGCGCTTCCCCACGAGTGAAGTTCATCATGGATGGACTTGGACCACGTCCACGCAACCGCTCCAAACCGGGCAACCAGTTGAACTCTCTTCACGAGATCGGCCATCCTTGTTTTGAGAGAAACCTCTGGCGCTGTAACAACCGCGCTGTGGGCCCAGGAGCACGCCGTTGCCTTGGATAGCCGGCGCCTCAGCGCCAGGACGGACGAACCGTCTGCGCTCAAAATTGTGCCGAGCACCTCCAAGACATCGACTGCCGGCACTGCCAGGTATATCCCATGCTGCGCCACTGTGGCTGGACCGCGATCCGCTGTGGACAGAATGGCTAACGAGGATGGTCCCAAGACGTCCTCAACGCAACGAGATCATTGGCGAAATCCTGCAGCATCCGAGTACCATGGTCACGGGAACGCCCCAAAAAGTACACGTTGTCAGCCCACTCCACATGAGTCGTAACACCGATTGCAGGTAGATCCACGTCGTACCCTGCAGCCCTCCAGCGATCGACACAGCAGTCGAGTATCCGTTGCGGGACGATATTCCAAGCAAGTGCGGGCTCCAAGCCGCCCTGCCGAATGCATCGTGCGGAAAGGAGATCGCGGGCGGTCTCCGCGCCGCCGAGGTTAACAGTTGCGCGTAGGTCCATGGCCTCTTCCACCATTGCCGCCACTATGTCCGCAGGCATTCCCCAGTATATCAAGCTATCCATCAAGATCTCCACCGACGGCTGGTCGAAGGCAGAGTTCGCGTCCGCGCTGATGATGTGAATGGGATAGTGTCTGTCCCACTCGATCCCTGTTTGCACGAGTAAGCGCAGCCCCGCGAAAAATTGCTCGGTGGAATGGTTCGCTTCGAATCCAATGATCACCATTTTTGCTTCCATCTGTAACCCTGCAGATCCCGTAAAGCACGTTCTGCCAAGAACACAACACATCCCATATACCATTTTGCGAGTACGGAAATAAGCGAAATGCCACGGAAATGCTCCGCTAAATCCCCTGCGTCCCGGACATTGGCAACCCAGATCAAAGCAATGCGCCTCCATGAATAATAGGGCTCGCCACGCAAGTTGCCCAGGAAACGCGTAGCAAAAAGGTGGTGGATGTGAAAGACCACGACAGCAAGTGACATATGCAATATCTCTGGCGTTGCACAGTCGCTGCAGACCGACGCCTTGCCCGGAGAGAGCCTGGCACGCGCAGCAAGTGTAATGTGGTAGTCAAAGGACGTACATGCAGTCGCAGATCCGCCTGCAAACGTCCGGCCCCGTCGAAGTGTCGCTCGAACCTGCGCCATCCGAGCGTCGTCCATCAGAGGGTCTGTATACTTCTGCTCGCAGTGGCGCTGCAGCTCATCGGACCACAAACGTCGGTCAACCGTCTTCGTTCCATCACACTGGAGCTCGTGAGGAGGTCGGGAGCGCCGAACGCCCACTTGGCTGAGGACGACCTGCGCTCTCCACCTCCTGCGCAACCTCTTCGCCGCGCGCCTCGCCTCCCGCCTCGACCCAGGAGAATTGGCCCGCCTCGAGGCGTCCTCGGCCGCCCGCAACTCTTCCGGCCGTCTGGCAACAGAACATCGCGACCGAGAGGCTTTCGAGGAGTCAACTGAACAGGCACGTTTCATAATGCTGTTTTGGACGTTGTCTAGGTTGACGCCCTGCGCCGCATCGCTCAGTCTGCGAACTTCTCCGCCGAATATGCCACCGACAACCCCAATCTTGACGATCTCTGCATCTTCTGCTGTTCTCGGCCGCCATCCTTTTTAGATTTTGTTGTACGTCCGTTTGCGCACGCAGACCGTGCATACGATGCACCACATTGGTAGATGATCGGAGCAAAAGACGCGATGGTGGGAGCGCCAGCCCGGGCCGATAACGATCTGGAGACCATAACGTAATCCAGCTGTGAGCCATCAGCGGCTGTGTACCCTCTGCCGAGAGGGATCCACGTCTGAAGCGTCCCGCTCAAAGAATACTTGTTCATCGCAGCAAGCCTGAAACGCTTTAGGAAACCTACAAGCAACGCACGTTTGTTCCAATAATCGCTAGATGTCGGGCGTCCCCTTGCGCTCGCTCCCGTTACCTCATCGATGCACGGATGAAGCTCCAGCTGAAAATCCCCCGTAACAATAAGTGCTGCTGCGGCCCGGCGCCGGAGCTCCTCGACGGAGCGGCACAAGAACTCAGCAGCCTCCGCACAGCATGCCAATCCCCGGCTGCAGTCAGGGAGGTAGCTAGAAATGACACAAGTATCGCCAATCAAGATAAGAGAATGCATGCAATACGACCCTTTCCACCGGATGACACCCCACCACTCCGAGGGGACGAGGATCGCCGAAGGGCTGTCGGCTGTGCGTTGTGCCGCCCAGACCCGCACGTTGAAGGCGTCTGAATTATCCGGTGGCCAAGACGACACCTCCTGGAGGCAGAGCAGCCCGCGCTGCACAGCCACCAAATCCGCAACGACATCATCAATGTGGTCGAAGGAAGCCTTCAGGACATTGAACGTAACGGCGTTGAGGAAATCCCCATATAGTGGAGCCCTCCCCGGCATGTCATTGACGACGCCGGGATCAGCGGAAAATGCTGGATGCAACCAGCACCTTATGATTGGCCTGCTTCTGGCTTGTGCACTGCAGAAGCTTGAGGCCGTCGGGATCCCAGTTCGCGCGCGTATCCGTGACCTCCGCGATGAAATGGGGCTCGCCGGAGGTGTTCTCCACGTGCGCGCACATGTCCCTACCCCAGAAAACAGGGACGTTGAAGCCCTCCACAGGACTGCCCGCCCTCTTCACCTCTTGCTCGAGGTAGCGCTGGATCTTGCCGAGGCCGGCGTCCTTCTTCTTCTCGTCCGGGCTCCGCTCGACCGTGAGGTACAAGTCCCGGCCGTTGACGGGGTTGGCACGGAGATGCGCTCGCCACCCGTGCGCAATCTCCGACATGTTGCCAATGATCGGCACCCGGATAAAAAAGTTGTTCGGGCGAAGGGCCCCCAACTCGCCGACGGATTCCCGCAGGTTCTCGGAGAGCTGACCCATCAAAATCTCGATGATCTCCTTCGCACGCTCAGGAGTGACGCCATGGGTGGAGGCCTGCGCGAAGTTGTCGACGAAGCCTTTGATCTCCAGGTAGGTCGGCTCAAACCGCGCCGGAAAGGTCGAGCGCGCCTGCAAGGCCGACCCTTTCTCCAGGGCGTCCAGCCGGTTATTGATCGGTTCGAGGGCCTTCTCAATCTTGGCGTTGACCATGGTCTCCAGCTGCTCGTCCAACTTCGTCTGGAAAAGCTCCTGCTGCTTGTCCGCGAACCGGTCGAGGATGTCGTCCAAGGTGATTTTGTCGCCCGGCTCTGGGCCCGTGAGCGCAATGCGCTTGGACATTGCTGGAGCATGAGGCTGATGAGGGTGCTGGAAATGGGCCTTCTCGCTGAATCACTTCATTGGATCACTCGGGCCGAATCACTTGAACATTCTGAAGTCGTCCATTCCACTGCTCGAGCGAACATCCAACCAACCCCCCCCCGCAACTTGTTGGTTGGCAAAGCTCAACTGGCGCAATGGCGCGAGGATTCTGACCATGCAGATCCAAGACTCGGATCGGGTGAATAGCGATGGGGACGACGACGACGACGTCGCCGATGGCGACACTGATGATGTCGATGGCGCTGATGACAACGGCGACGGGAACGACTACAACGACAATGACTGTGATGCTGGCGACGAACTTAGATTGAAGAAGATGGTGGTGATGGAGATGACTGTGATGATAATGATGATGCGGCGCGGCGGCCCGCACCTCGATCTCGGCGAGCACGGTGCCGTAGTGGGCGAGGATCGCGGCCACGTCGGGTGCCTGCGGCAGGTTGGGCGAGAGACCTACAGCCAAATAGCTGATCAAGAACATTATCCTGTGAGAAATCTGGTCCGGCTTCCCAGCGATTTCGGACAACGGATCTGGGCCAAGTTTGATGGGCTCATTTCCACCACCACTACCACATGTACGAGAGGGGGGAGGAGGAGGAGGAGGAGGAGGAGGAGAAGGAGGAGGAGGAGGAGGAGGAGGAGGAGAAGGAGGAGAGGGAGGAGGAGGAGCAGGAGGAGGAGGATGAGGAGGAGGAGGAGGAGCAGGAGGAGGAGGAGGAGGAGGCGGAAGGAGTAGGTAGAGGACGAGGAGGAGGAGGAGGAGGAGGAGGAGGAGGAGGACCTCCTCATCCTCCCTTCTCCTCCGTCCTACACCTGGTGGTGGTGGCGGCAAATCTGCCCATCAGAGGTCTGCTGTTCACGCTGGAGGGGCGAGCGTGCTCCAGAACCTGGGCCGGCCTTCGGCCGAGCTGGTGACGAAGCGCGGGCCAGCTTGCCAGGAGGAGGCCTCTCTGGAGCAGATGCTCGACAGCAGAGCTCCTGGAGCTGCGCCGAATGCCCCCGACGGAGGGTCGGGCGAACAGCCGGGCCTGGGGGAAGGGGACCAGACCGTCGGTGGTCCACCCTACGAAAAGGTCCTAATGTTGAGGAAGAGGCAAGATACAGTCGGGGCCTTGACCCAAGGAACCCCAAATAAGGAACGAGGCCCCATTTTCCAGAAGGTAAACTTCGATTTCCGATCGAAAACCTGAGGAAAGCCTGAGGCAAGCTGTGAAACACTTAAGGAACGCGGAGCCCCTCCCCAACGAAAAGGGTTCCTTCCTCAAGACCCCGACTGTAAGTCAGCAGCGAAGCGGGGAGCTGGAACGGACAAGAACGTGCGTCGGACACGGGGCCGCCCCGGCACCGGGCCCGAAACGAAGCACATCGGCCGCGCCAAGGTGCACAATGAAAAACTGCGAACCTCGGGCCCCCTCGGGTCGTCGAACTGTTAATGTCGAGCCGATACCGGCTTGGCCCAAATCGATGTCGAACTGGACCGATCGGATCAAAACCGATTGTGTGGCGAAGAGGGCGCACGGAAACCGCAAGGACAACGCTCCCCAACTGGCTCCTGCGAGTCAAAGCCTGGGTGCCGAACGAACACGATGGCGAGTAATACGAGTCATCCCCTCCTGCGATCTCTCCTCCTCCCAGTTGCGTCCCTTTCTCCTTTCCACGCATTCCCCGCCACTTTGCCCCCTCCTCCATCGGAAAACCATCTTGGAACCGCCCGAAAACCTTCGAACCTATGCTGTAGATCTGCCTGGTGGGTCAACTTGTGACCGACTCGGGGCCTTTTAGGGACTACTGGGGGCCCTCCTGCTGCTCTGGCAAGCTCCCTCGTGAAGATCTACGCTGCTGGCTTCACTTGCCAGCCAGCCTGTGGCTGCCCTGCGGGCCCTCTTGGGCCCCACATGCGGCCTTCCTGCGACTCTGGCCCCTTCCGGGCCCAGAGCGACCCCGTTCCGTGCGCTCTGCCCCAGGCCATTCGCACCCTCGCGCCCTTCAGACTGGCGCCTCCGGGGAACTGGGCCCGCTAACGAGGCCACGGCGCCCCAGACCCATATTGCGTGAATCCCTCCTCCCTCCCTCCCTCCCGCCCTCTTTCCTCCCCCCTCCTCCCCCTCCTGCCCCTCCTCCTCCTCCTCCTCCTCCTCCTCCTCCTCCTCCTCCTCCTCCTCCTCCCCCCCCCCCTCCTCCTCCTCCTCCTCCTCCTCCTCCTCCTCCTCCTCCTCCTCCTCCCTCCTCCTCCTCCTCCTCCCTCCTCCTCCTCCCCCTCCTCCTCCTCCTCCCTCCTCCTCCTCCTCCTCCTCCCCTCCTCCTCTTCCTCCTCCTCCTCCTCCTCCTCCTCCTCCTTCTGCTTCTCCCCTCCCGCCCGCGAGCCGCCGCACCTGACCGCTGGCGCCCGCGCAGGCCGTCCTCCTCTGGATGGTCGCCCGCAACTTTCTCGCCTGCGCCTTCGCGAGCCCGCCGCGCGGGCCCGGCCACGCCAGGGGAGGGCGAAGTGGAGGCTTCTCCTCCTCCTCCTCCTCCTCCTCCTCCTCCTCCTCCTCCTCCTCCTCCTCCTCTTCCTCCTCCTCCTCCTCCTCCTCCTCTTCCCTCCTCCTCCTCCTCCTCCTCCTCCTCCTCCTCCTTCTCCTCCTCCTCCTCCTCCTCCTCCTTCCTCTTCCCTCCTCCTCCTCCCTCCTCCCTCTTCCCTCCTCCCTCTTCCCTCCACCCTCCACCCCACACCCTCCTCCCTTTTCCATCCTCCTCCTCCTCCCTCCTCCTCCCCCTCCCCTCCTCTCCTCCTCCTCCTCCTCCTCCTCCTCCTCCTCCTCCTCCCTCCTCCTCCTCCTCCCCCTCCTCCCCCTCCTATTCCTCCTCCTTTTTCCTTCTTCTCCTCCTCCTCCTCCTCCTCTCCTCCTCCTCCTCCTCCTCTCTCATCTTTCCTCCTCCTCCTCCTCCTCCTCCTCCTCCTCCTCCTCCTCCTTCTCCTCCTCCTCCTCTCTCTCTCTCTCTCACTCTCTCCCTCATGCACAATCCCTCCCTGTCAAACCCCGAAGCAGGTAGGTAGGGCGGGCGTTTCGCCTGAGACGCTCTCACAAATTATGATCCTGAAGCTCAGAATTCACAACCAGTTCAACGGATGGAGGGCAGCTCGCTTTCAAAATGTGGCACTCGCCGCAGCGCCGCGCACATTCGCCTGACATGTTTGCAGGAGCTTCCTGGGTTGAAGACAGACAGATCGTTTTCAAAATGTGGCTCTCGCCTCAGCGAAGCGCACATTCGTCTTGAATGATTGCTAGGGTCTCACGGGTGGAGGGCGGGTGGTTTTCAAAGTGTGGCTAGTGCCCTAGCGCCGCGCACATGCGACTGAAACGTGTGCAGGAATTTCACGAATGGAGGGCGGCTCCATTTCAGAATGTGGTTCCCGCCCTGGCGCCGAGCACATTCGTCTTCGAAGTTTGCCAGAGCTTCGCGGATGGAGGGCGGTTCCTTCTCAAAATGTCTCCGCCCTCGCGCCGCGCGCATTTTTTTACCAGTCGACATCCGTTTCGAAGACTACTGTGGCTGTCGTCCCAGTTGAAGTCCAAGACTCTCAACTGTTTGCCTCCAACGGTACTCTTGCCGCAGCGAAGATGACTCCCTACAGGAGCCCCTTTCAAGAGGGAAATTGGAGGGAGGGCTTACTGCAACATCGTTGATGGGTCTTGGGCTTGCACTGGTCCCTACTCCCCCTCCTCCTCCTCCTCCTCCTCCTCCTGCTCCGCCTCCGCCTCCGCCTCCGCCTCCTCCTCCTCCTCCTCCTCCTCCTCCTCCTCCTCCTCCTCCTCCTCCTCCTCCTCCCTCTCCTCTGTCGACAACATGTAAAGAGTGGCCCTTCGCTGAAGTGACCGTTAGTGCTTGCCCAAAGGGGGCCAGGTGATTTTTCTGGTGGAATGAGCTTGGCCTCGCGTCGGCACCCGCATCGCGTGATTACGCTCGCATCTGAGCGCGCCAGGTTTGGGCCCACCCCTTGCAATCGACAGCAGCGCATACGCGTCGCACCGTACAGTTTGCATTGGTTACCCGAGGGGGCCCGACGACCAGACGGCGCGATTTCCGGCCCAGGACCAGTCCCGAATCCCAGCCCAAATCCCAAAACGTCTGGCTTGAATATGTTTGAATATCTTTGAACCTGTGTTTCGAACCAATGGGGATCTTTACTATTATAAATTATCCGAGGATGTTCAAACATCTTCCAGGCTCTCGGATGGGGCTGGTCAACAATCATCGCGATGCAGCCCAGCAGTGCCAGACCTCATCGCGGTGGCCCCCGGCAGCGTCTGCTTTCGCAGCGCCTTCGAAGTGTCATTCGGGGCGCTCGAATTCAATCGGCGGAATTCTGCGGTTGCCCGCTGGCACGAAACATCATTTTTGGACGCCCGAAATGGGCACGGAAAGAATGGGTACAATGCCCAACAACAAATGCTGTCCCAAACCAACAGCGGCCACTGTTGGGCAGGCGGCCTTCTGTCTCAAATGGGCAACGGCCGCGGCGGCGCGGACAGCGAGCCCTGTTCAAGATGAGCAGGAACTGCTGGTAGGCCTTGTACCCATTCTTTCCGTACCCATGTCGCTCGTGCAAAACATTCGAGTGGCGCCCCGTCGATCGTTGATGCTGCGCGGCGGCGCTGGCTTGCGCGATTGCCTTGGGCCCACACTGGTGCCCCTGAAGCCGCCACTCTTGCGTGCGCGCGCTCGCCGCGAGCCCCGGTGGCCCTCCTTGGGGCCGATCGCCCACGGGCGGCTTCCTTGCTTGCCGCCAGCCCGGGCGTCTCCTCGAGGGCGGCCTCGGGGGCCCGTTGTCGGGCCTCTGGGGCCCGTCCGTCTGGGATCCGGGGCGTGCATCGGGTCCTGGGGAAGGGGGCGGGGCCCCCGCGGCCGCGGATCGAACAGGGCCCATCGTCGGATGCCCGGGGACGGGTGCGGAGGGGCACGGGCTCGCCGTTTTCGGGCCCCTGCGGGTCACTCCCCCCCCCCCGAGGCCCCGGGAGCGTCCAAGACCGACCCAGCATGAAGAGCTGGCCCCTGGGGGAGGGCCCAGGCGTCCAGGGCCTGTTGCCTCCAGGATCCGTTTCCTTCATGACGGAAGGGGGGAAGGAACAGGAGGGGGGATGTGGAGGGGGAGAGGAGGAGGGGGGATGTGGAGGGGGAGAGGAGGAGGGGAGAGGAGGAGGAGGAGGAGGAGGAGGAGGAGGAGGAGGAGGAGGAGGAGGAGGAGGAGGGAGGAGGAGGAGGAGGAGGAGGAGGAGGAGGAGGAGGAGGATGGGGATGAGCAGGACGAGGGGGCTTTGAATGGACTTGGTGCTGGGGCACCTTAATGCTTTTGATTGGCCCAGTTTCCTGGCGCCACAGCCCTGGAGGGCACGGTGGTCGCAACCACCCGTCGCGGTTGAAACTCGTGGTGCGGGTGGCCGCTGGGCAGGCGCTAGAGGAGCCACCGGGGAAGAACCCATGCATCAGCGAGCCCCTGCCGAACCACGGCTATTGGTTTCGGCGTCTTGGCTGTAGTCACTCACCGCGTCCCGCCTGCAGTCGGAGGGTCTGGCTGCTCGAGCCCGTCTCCTCTCCTCTGCGAGGGCCAGTCGGCCGCTAGGCTGGGACGACTCCTCTTCCGAATCATCTGCCTCTTCTTCGACATCTTATCTGGGGTTTCCATGACATGCCAAGGCTTGCCCAAAGGGTCATTACTAGGGGGGTCACAGTCTCCTCAATGATGACGACCGCCCAAAGCCTCACAGCCACCCCAGAGCCGTCCAGAACGCCCAGAATCGTCTAGACTCTCCTCGATCCTTCATCCGTCAACCTCGCTCGCTCCTCAGGAGAAGCACGCGACCCCCCAGTGGCAACCGTCCTTGGCATTGCCCGAGGAGCTCCTGGCAGTGGAAGAATACTTCGGCCAGCAGCGTCACATGTGAGGCTTGATGTCTCCACCGCTGTGGCTGAGCCGCGTGATCGCATGTCGAAGGCGGGCGTCCCCGCAGCCTCCTCCCCTCCTCCACGCCCTCCAGCGTGCGTGCACGGCTGTCCAGCCAGGTGAGGTGCTCGGGCGCCGCCGCAGTGGCGCAGTGCCGGGCTCGAGTGCCCTCGCGGGCCCGAGCCTGCGAGAGGGGGCCTTTTTGGCGGCGCGCATAAGGGGGTGGAGGGAGCGGGGGGGGGCTCCTTGGAAGGAGGCCGCTTCTTAGAAAGCGCCGGCCTTACATCTACAGAGAAGGCCCGCGCCTTCTAAGAAGCAGGGGTGCTTCTAAGAAGCCCCCCCTCCCCCCGCTCCCCTCTGCGCGTGGCTGAGCAGTGGCGCAGTGGCGGGCCCGAGTGCCCTCGCGGGCCCAAGCCTGCGAAAGGGGTGCCTTTCTCGGGGGGGGAGCTCCGTCCCAGGTGGCGCGAGTCCCAGGCAAGCTCGCTGCAGAGGGCGACCTGCTCAGGTCAAAAGGCGTCGAATGCTGTCTTTCTGCAGAGGCTGATGCTCAGCGTCCAGTGTCAGCGTCGCAACGGCGGCGGGAGGCGAGGAGGCCAGCCCGCGGGGGGCGGAAGAATATCTGCCAACGTGGGCTCCAAAGAATCAGTTACTGCACTCTCCAGGTGCAAGCCTTGTGGTGCAAGCTATGAGGCGCAGAGCTGCGTGACGTGCGCCATGCTGTGCAGGCCGTGCGCTGTGGTGCTTGTGGCGCAAGCCGTGTGGTGCAAGCTGCTGCGTGAACGCTGCGTGGCTGCGTGGTGCAAGCTCACTGATGTGTTGTTGTTCTTTCTCTTTCTTGTTTGTGGTGCAAGCTCCGTGGTGCAGCCTCCACGGTGCAGGCTGCTTGCTGCAACCGACCGTGGCGGAAATCTGTGCGGCCGGCCACGGGGCGCCCGCGAGGCGCGCCCGCGGGCGGCCTATCCTCGGCAGGGCACCGGGCGAGCCCTCGGGCCACCGACCCCCCACGCGAGGCACCCACGAGGCGCCCACGAGGGCCAGCATGAAGGGGCCCTGGGACACACAAATAAATACACACAAATAAAAATATCCCACCATATTTTCCCATATTTTCTGGGTTTCTGTCTTCCCCCCCACTTCTCATACTTTCCACATTTTCTGTGGAATCGAGGATTCATTGTGTCTGTGTGTTTCTTCCCCTCCTGAACCAAGCTTCACGCCTCGGCACACGCACCCCGCGCAGAAGAGGAGCCCACGAGGCACCCGCGGGCGGACTCGAGGCGAGACCTCGGCGTGCAACCCCCCAGCACGGGGCGCCCTCGGGCGGCCACGCACTGGACGCCGGCCGAAAGGAGTGGGATATGCCCCTTCGGTTACCTGTCGACCGGAGTAGAGCTCCCCGAGGGCAGGCGCTGCTTGGGGACCAGACGGGACCACCCGAAGGCACACTGTACGGAGGTCCGCGCAATGCCTCGGGTCGGCGATGGACGCCCCGTCCCTGGGCGCGCGCCCGGGGCAGCCCGATGGGGCCTCAGCGGAGAGGCAACGCCGGCGCCAGAACCCTGCGCGGACCTCCCTGAAGCACGCGCTGGATGTCTGTGCCATGGACGGGGTGGGGGGGAGATGGGAGGCAGGGGATGGAGGAGGGTAGAGGATATCAGAGACAGAAGCATGGTAAGCGGCGAGAAACGGAAGAAGCCGGGAGAGACACAGGCACAGAGGGTAGTGGGGAAGGGGGGGAACTGAAGGGAGCAGGAGAGGGAGGGGAAAGGGGTATGTAAGCGATGCAAAGAGAGGGGAGAGGGACGGCGGGGGCAGTGGTGGGAATGAGTTGGCGGTTCAGGATACGCGGAAACGCTTGGTACATAGCCAATACACGCTGGCCGCGATTACATCACTGGAGGGTCGCACATGCATCGCTGTCATGAGTTCAAGAACCAGGAGCCGAACACACGCACACACACGATATCTTGTCTGATACTCAACAGCACCGTGAAGCAACGGATCACATGGTATCCTCGTTATCCTCGTCATCATCCCTCTGCTTCTGTTCCATCGACACTCCTGTGGCGAATGACTTTCGCCGCGGGCCCGTGCCTGCAACATCGGCAGATCGCCGTGCGTGACCATCGGTGGCGACGTCTTCGCGCGTGTGGGCCGCCTGTGCGAATCAACGCATGATCCAACGGCGCACCCGCACGCTGAACCCACCCAATTCTGGAGGTCGGCAAAGGGGTGTGGCATAAAGGGGTGTGGTGCCAATCGTTGAAATTTCGATGTGATCTGCGATCAATAACATCGCCAGGGTCCCCTTTACAAGAGTTAGCGCCGCACCCCTTTGCACCGTACTCCCTCCCTGCCTCCAGATCACTGCCGACCAAACCACACGATCGGCCCAGACCGAAGCGGCAGCACACGTCCTGACGGAAACGGATCCTGGGCCGTGGCGGCGCTCCCCTGGCCCAACCGACTGGTCCTCCATCGTGTTTGACGCCCTTCTGGACATTGGAAGGGTCACGAGGTGCCGAACACAGCGAAGGGTCCCGTGTCCTCGGGACCGGCACGCATCATTATGAACATCACACTTGCGCGTGACTGCCGCTGCAATCAGCCGGATCAAGGAATCATCGCTATCTCGACGACGCCTGCATCAGCACATACCATGGACGTTCTCGTCGCCATCCTCGCCGCCGCCTTTACATGTGGGGCGGCCAGGGGCAAGAATGAGAATGAGGAGGGGTGGGGTCAGGAAGTCCCGCCTGGACCCCCAGAAAGCGACTTGGTCAGTCTAGGGGTCGTTTAACTAAACCGCCTAACTACACCAGAACAGCCCCCAAA